TAACTTAATCACATCTGCAAAGTATCTTTTGCCATGTGAAGTAACATAGTCATGGTTCTGGGCATCAGGGCATGGCATCTTTGGAAGGCCAATATTCTGACTGCCACAACTTGCTCTGGCTGTGTGTGTGCCTAGGGTACCCACACGGGGGCCTCAGACCTTTGAGCTGCCTGTGACTGGGTGGAGCGGTGGAGGAATGTTTGACCACTGCTGCCCAGGGCTGGGGAAAGGTGGAAAACCTGCCATGCACTGCTGAGTAACCTTTTAAGAAAAGTTTTAAGAATGAGTTAAAAAGCCCTGGCTCCTGCTCCAGCTCATGTCTTATTAGTATTCAAAATCAGGGGCAGTCCAAGAGCTGGCACCTCCAATCATTCTTCCATGATACCAACAACAATAGATTTCAGGGTTAAAGGTGACCCATTTATGAAACGTACTTTTGCAGAGGAGGCTCTAGCAGTCTGAGTTAGGACTGACGTGCCCCAGTGAGTTAACAGAAGCAGCTTCGTTTGCAGATGCAGAATGGGCTTCCCCCCACTTTCTTGAATCATTGGAACAAAACTGATGACGTTCAGACCCTGGCGCGTATGTGGCTGTGTACATAGTAGGTGCTCGAGCAGCTGCTGAATTCAATCATCCCAAAGCTCACCTTTTATTTCTAGGCTATGAGTAAACAGAAAAAGATTAAGATTGGAAGCAATTTGGCCATTTTCTGTTAAGATGTGAAATGTACATATCATTCCCAGCATTTCCACTTGTTGGTATTGATCCCAGAGAAATATTTGCATATGTGTGTAAGGATGGATACACAGCATGTTTGCCATGGTCATAGATTAGAAACAGCTTAAATGTCACTTGAGCAGTGACAAAATGAATGTGCTACATTCACACAAAGCAACTTAAAAAAAATAAGCTAGATCTATGTGTTTGAACCATGAACGTATTATACAGTGAAAAAAGCAAGTTTGGAATAATATGTATCAGTTTGATTCCTCAAAAAAATCATTATATATTTTGTAAATACATATATGTTACATAGAAATTTCTAGAAGTATAAACACCAAACTGAAAACAATTTTTATTCTGGAAGAGGACTGGGATGAGTTTGGAGTAGGGGTTGAGGTTGGTAAACATAGATTTTTACTTTTATTTATACTGTGTGAATATTTTTGCAATAACATGTATTTAAAATTTATCAAAATGTAAAATATATTTTAAATTAAAAAAAAAGAGATTGAATGAAATAATATAATAGCTTAAGTTGTAGAAACTGATGATCAAATCTATTAAAATGTTATATTTCACAAAGGAGCAGTTAGGACTGAAAGTTCAAAACTATTTCTCCTATTTTGTTAAAAGTGTGCATGTATATGTGTATATATATTTAAATATATACTACATATATCTAAATATATTTATATGGATGTCTTATCTATCTATCTTCTATATCTATACTATATATTACATCTATATATGCTTCATGTATCTATATATATTTATAATACATAAATGCTGCTTTGGTTAAATCACAGGCAAATATCTTATTCTTTATCATTGTTTTTATTATTTATAATGGCAAAGTATCTCCTATGTAATTATGATTAATCTGGTAATTGAATACAGTTTGCCTTTTAAATAATTCAATTAACTTCAGTAAATTAAAAAGTTTTCTGACATAGTTGCAAAATTAAGAAAAAAATGAAACACGGCTTTACGATACGTAGCATCCCTTTAAATGAAATCCTTCCAAGTGTGAAGAATGCATTAAGATTTTATCAAATGAATGCTCTTTGTGTAACTGATCTAAATTGTGATTTAAACTTTACAACCACTACAATCTTTCTACTTGAGCAAAACCCCTGTTGGAAACTGATAGGGTAGGGGGTTATCTCCGACATCTGGAGATATCCCAGGAAACAAAAGCTGCTCTACAGGAATTGTGCAAGATTGACACCGACAGGAATTCCTTTCCAGACAACACGAAACTGCAGATTGGGTGTTTAGTTCCACTGAGAAAAGGGGAAGCCACTGGGCTTTCTGTTTACCCAGGGAACCAGTCCTGAAGATCCTCAATAGTTGTGTACCCACATTCGTCTGGGGGTGATCAAACCCTCCCCTCTCCCTGCAGGGAGGAGACTGTAAGCAGACCGCAATCACGCACCTGCTGGTCAACCGATAAGCCCTCCACATGCAGTGACACTCGCCCAGCTGTGGTGCAGAGGAGCAGAGCTGACCCATTCCCTCCCCCATCCCTGCAGAACAAAGGGCGGTCATTTCTGCTCCTCCCAGAGTCAGATGTATGCACACGCCTTCCATCACAATTAACTCAAGAATCAGAAACACAATACAAACTCACCCACAACATGCTCAGAATCAATGCCATCAATACCCAGAACGAGGATACCGCAAAAGCAAAACAAAACAAACCTATTCAAAGAGTAAACACTCAAAGCAACAGGGCTTGAATCAGACACACTACAAGGTCAACAAATCCAAAACAAGCTCAAGTGTGGGCACCTTATAAACTGCAGAGCTGGACATTATCCCAGGAGGATGACGGAAATGCCTTCTGGGGCCAGCTAATGGAAAGGTCTATAAGATAATAGAGAGTGGGCCTCTATTGAGCTGGACCGCAGGTGCCCCAGGTGAAAGCATTCACATTCAATTTTTTAAAATTTCCATTCCTGCTACATGATTCTTAAACAGAGAGTCTATAATCAAACAGAGAAGAAAGAGAGTTAAATATGGGTGTAGGGTAGATGAAACAGAATAAAAATCAAAGTCAGAAATGTTGCCAAGGAGTCCATAGGGAATGAAAGGCAGGGCAGTGGTCCTAGCTGCCATTGTTTGAAAGGATGGTGGCCACTGGTTTACATTTTCAAAGGCAACGGCAAAACTAAAGTTAAAAGAAATGGCTTATTAAGCTCTACGGTGAGGGATTTGGATTAGTCAGAGTCTTGACATAAGTCATTGAGCTGGATGACAAAAAGATCGCACACATTCTCATGGAATGCTCTAAATAAACGGAGCCTCCCAAAACTATAGGTGTGGCCTTACTGGAAGGCAAGGAAGGGGTGGACCAAATGACCTCCCAAGGTCCTGATTTAAATATGTCTGTATAGTCAACCTGTGGTTATCCGGCCCAAAGAAAAAGACAGTGACAAATCATCCTAAGCCGAAGATAATAAAAAGTTATATTTGCCTTTGGAATGTATTTTGGTACTTAAATTAGAACGTGACTTTCCGATGCCCTGAGAATTCACAATGCTTCATAATAGCCACAAAGAAGGCCTGACCTGGAGCTGGGAGGCTGCCCAATTTTGCCATCTTGTCCTCCATGTAACTCTTCTTCTTTGCTGGGGTGAGCAGTGTTATTTTTTAGAAGAACACCCAGCAATCCAGGCTTTCTCAAACAGGGGCTGCCTGGGTCACCTCTGCCCCAGGAGAAGAAACAGAGGTCTTTCCCCAGTCTCTGGATGATCCAGGATCAAGAGCCAGGATGGTCTGGTTCTTTTTTCCAGAGGATGGTTCCAACAGCAAGCGGCAAGCTGGACAAAGTCTAGACATCTACTAGGCTGATTACAAAGGATAGCCTCGCTTCTCTACCATTGAGGACACAAAAGCCAGACTTTTAGGAGGTCTAAATGGAGTCCCTCTCACTCTTCACAGGGTAGAAGAAAGAAACAAATGAAAGAAGAAACACACTTTACAAAGTATTTTTTTTTATGCATCACCACCACTGCCCTATGTGGTAGGCAGCGGATTTCAATATGCCCATTTTACAGATGAGGAAAGTAAGGACTGCATAGCTAAGTAACTTGCACAAGGCTACAACCATTGGATGGTATGGCTAGAATTAAAACCAGGTCTTCCCGTGCCAAGGTCAATGCTGTCTACCTATACACTCAACTGCCACAGTGATGTTACCTGCCGGTTGCTTTGGTTGGTGCTGCCATAAAGCGCAGGCCTCCCAGAAGACTGACAGCTCCCTGCAGTGTTGTTATCGATTACACGATTTTTGAAGTGATAATTAAACTTTTTACAGTGTAGTTTAGCAGCTGTTGAGTTAGGGAGCCTTGTGGTTTCCAATCCTGACTCACTGGCTTATTATTTACCTGACAGAGGGCATGTCACACACCATCTTTGAACCCGAATCTCCTTTTCTCTAAATGGGGGATGATAGTGTTACTTTATGGTGTTGTCAGGAAGGTTAAATAAGGCAATGCATGTGAAGGGCTTAGCACAGTGCCTCGCACATATTAGTGCTCAATATGTAATAATTATTAACGTAACTGGCAGAATTTATAGTGCACTGTCCCGTGCCATGGCCTACGGAGGGAGGCTTCAGGACAAGAAGGCACTACAGTCCCTATTTTTATAGATCATATATCTGAATCGCAGCAAATAAGGGAGCGATCAACTCATGCAACTAGGAAGTTGTAGATCTAGGGCATGAACTAAAGCTACTTGGATTCCAAATACTATGCTTTTTTTGCTACATAATGTTGCTTCTCAGGCGGGGAGGGAGCAGTGGACCAAGGCGGGGTACAGAGGAAGTTCAGCTGTCCTTCCTAATTCCCATCTTCCTGCCTTCTTTGAAATGGACAATTAATGTCTCCTTAGTCTTATGTAACATGCCATGAGGGGGCAGACTGAACATCCCCTTCTATCCTAACTGTCACACTTAAGCCCCTCCTACAGAGATGCTAGAATCCCACCGATAAGGAAGTGACATCGGTATGACTGAAGATATGAAGAGCGTGCCTTGCAGCAAAGCATTCAAATTTTCTCCATGGAAAGCGTGTGGATCGAACATCTTTCTTGGATCTACCCTCCGTCCCCCCAACTCTACAACAAAAGGCAAAGAAGTAGCATACCAGAACCCCCACTGAGCCCGGCCAAGACCCCTGAGTGGGAATGTGTGTTGCAAGCCCTGGGGTTTTGGAGTTATTTGTACTCAGCTGACTAACGGATCTGCCATTCTCAAGCGGGGAGGCACTTACCCTGCCACCACGATCTCAAAGTCCCCGTCATGGTCCACGTCCGTTACTGCCACACCATAGTTGAGCTGCGTGGGGTTGCTGTCATAGTCAGGGGGCAGAACCGAGTTGGTGACTGCTGTGAACATGGGTTCAGCTCGCTGGGACCCCTCAGTGGGGGGCAGAAACCACAGCAGTAGCAGGAACAGAAACATCCTGAACATCTGAAACCGGAAATTACAAATGTTACTGAAAGACCTCCTAGCCAAAGCAGCCCAGGAAAATCTAACCTCAGCAGACCCGGAGGTGCCCCCCGCCCCACCCCTGTTCACGAATGGCCTGGCAATTCCCACTGACACTTTTCCGTAAGACCTGCTCTGACCTCCCTCTTTAAAACTACATCCTGCCCCCGCCACGCCTGTCACCGTCTCCTGCCCTGCCTTTTCTAGAGCACCCATCACTGTATAGCCTACGATGTAACACACATATTCATCATGTTTATTATTTATTGTCTGCCTCCCTCTGCTAAAATGTAAGCTCCACCAGGGCAAGAATCTTTGTTTTGTTCCCTCACGTACACCAAGCCAAGGACAGCATCTGACACATACTAGGCACTTCATCAGAATTTGTTGAGTGGGCCCTGGCCGGTTTGGCTCAGCGGTTAGAGCGTCGGCCTGCGGTCCGGAGAGACCCGGGTTCGGTTCCCGCTAAGGGCACGTACTTCGGTTGCAGTTTGTCCCCGGCCCTGGTTGGTCGTGCGGGTGGCAGCCACTTGATGTGTCCCTTTCACATCGATGTTTCTCTCTCTCTCTTCCTCTCTCTCCCTCCCCCTCTATCTGTACAAAAAATGGAGAAATGTCCTCAGGTGAGGATTAAAAAAAAAAAAAAAGAATTTGTTGAGTGGGTGGAGGAAGGAAGGAAGGGATGGTCGATTATAAATACACAGGCATCTCCCATACGCTGGGAGAAAGATTGGAAGAATGAAGAAAATAGCAGCTTTCAAACAGTCCAGGGTGGGGTGAGACCCCGAGTGTCCAAGTCCAGAACAACAGCAGAGGCAGTGAAGGGCTGTCTTTCTGGGCGCCACACCCCAGAGGGAGTCTGGAGGGAACCTGAGTAGCAGGTTTCCCCGGCCCAGGCCCTCCCTGGGCAGCGGTGCCTCCAGACCAGGAAGCAGGCGGTTAGGGAATGTATTCCAGCAGCACCCAGCGGGCAGCACATCAGTCACTTGGAGAAATTAAAGTGTTGCGTGCGTGTTTTATTATAAATTAATTATGTATAATCCATTGTATAATTCATTATGCTATCGCTAACATAACTCAGGGTGTTGCCGAGCAGCCTGAGGCCACGGGAACCTGTGGCACATACCCAGGAGACAGATGAGAATGGGCAAGGAGCTGGAAGGACTCCACCCCCCTGCTGGCAGGGGAGACACTCAGAACGCTGCAGATGGTGCCACCCTGAGACTCTGCCGCAGGCTTACAATCGGAATCAGAGTGTTGTTGTAAAGGCCCTGCTGGCACGAGTCCCACCCGGGCTGAGCAGGTCCAGCCCCGCAGGCAAGGTGGTGCCTTCCTGCCTTCAGAAGGCAGCAAACCCCTTCGTGAGGGAACTGCTCCTCCTGGCTCGTCAGTGCGTCTGGCAGCCGAGAGCAAGGCTGAGGGAGGCTGATGTCTTAATGAAGAGAAGATCTGAAGACTGACTCCCCATTATGGAGACAGATGCTCCTGCCAGCAAACAGGCTTGCTCCAGTTCAGGACTCAGAGACCAAAAGGAAGGGCCCAGGCACTTCAGAGCCAAACATGGCTCGGAATCCTCCTTAATACCTCGTTGGAGAAGCTGGAGAGAGACGCTGGGGCAGGGTTCCAGCTGCAGGGCAGAAGCTAACCCCGGCGAGCCTTTGTGGGAAGGAGGTTCTTGGAGCGTCCTCGTAGGTCCTCATAGGGCACTTGTTGGGTGTTGCACTATCAGAGTGAGGTCAGTCCAAATTACAGTGATGTCTGAACAAGAAAGCATCTTCTACTGGGCTGTCTAATCACCGAAGGCCAGCGCATCGCTAGGAGCGTTTGCAACTCGGCAGGAAGTTTGGTTGGATAAAGGAAACGCATAATTGGATTAATGAGCAGCTTGGGGGCAAGTGAGAAGCTAAAGAGTATTTATTAACCAGTGCAGGCCGCTAAAATGTTGTGTGGATATGAAGGTCGCTGGACTTTTCAAGGTATGACCTCTATTGTAGGGATGGCCCATGTGTTTCAACTTGAGATTCAAATCCAACTGATTGGCAGTGGCTTGAAAGGGTACTGTGATCGGCTCACGACATTTGCAATGGGCATGAAAGAGGAAAGTGGCGTCAGGTATGCCTTCCAGAAGCTAGTTCCTTCCTCCTCGGCACCATACCTGCAATTTGGGTCACTGCCACCGGGGAGGCAGGCCCTACTGGGGTAATACAAGCAGCTGGTAGAAATTTTCTAATGAAGGCCATGAGGGGCAGGCACCATGATCCAGCCTCTTGATTTTTACCTTTTCTGTGAAAAGCAGAACTTTTAATTAAAGGAGCCATATGATAGAAGTAGCTACTCCCTGTTATCCATTTCTAGCTAAATAACGTAAAGCAAGATCAAAAAGGAATCACACACCCATAGGCTGACCCCTATTTTGCTTGGTGATCTTGAGCCGAAGTCTCCCTGGGTCCCAGCTTTCTTCTCTAAAATGAGAGTTTGGGAGTAGGTCTCGAAAGTTCCTTGCCAGCTCTAAAATTCTAAAATGGATTAAAGGATTAAAAAGAAAGAAAGCAGACCCTCATCGGTTTTTCTCCCCAGTTTCTTCTATAAACTTCAGACCGACCTATGGGGTTTTTCTTTCTGAGCATGTTAAATATATTTTGAACAGAACAGCTTTTCAGCAAGGTTCCCCAGTAGTTAGTTCCCTCATGGGGGCGAAGGCCAGAGGGGAACCAACCACCATTAGTGTGGACCCTGAAATCACCTGGCTGGGAGACAGTGGGACAGAGAGGACATACACTTTACATTTCAATCTCCTGCCACGTCAAAGGCGCCCGGTGCACCCCCTGGGGCTGCTCAGTGCCAGGCAGTTGAGGATAAGCCGCGGGCCTGCCTGGATGGTGTGTCAGGAAACAGTCCTGGTGAAGAAACTTAGGGAAAGGTCTGTAAGTATCGACTATACTCTCAGGGCTCAGATGTAGGAACTCATTGAAATGCAACTCAGCATCCTAGCTACTCAGGCTGGTCCCACACCAGAAGCACCAGCATTAGCTAGGAGTTTGTTAAAATGCTGAATCTTGGGCCTCACCCCAGAGCTACTAAATCAGAATATGCATTTTAATAAGATTTCAGGTGATTCGAATGCAACTTGTCATATAGTTATTTAAAAACTTTTTTTCCCCTTAAAGCAATGCGTCTCAAATTATAACACACTTACAAATCACTGGAGGATCTTGGTAAAATGCAATTTTTTTTTTTTAAGAATAAATTTATTAAAGCTGGGGACAGTGAAACATGGAAGCACTTAGGATAGAAGAAACACAGGAGAGAGCCCAGGCAGGGCTGCTTTGGCTAACGGGGAAGTCAGGGAAAAGGAGCCTTGGAGACAGGTTCAGGGGGTTGGTTAGCTGGGAGTGAGATGCTGCTGCCCACTGCTCCCCTGATTGCACATCTCGTGGGGACCCTTAGAGTTTGGAAGACGTATGTCTGAGGGACATGGGTGTGCTCCTGGGAGGGAGAGTACAGGGAAATGCAGATTCTGATTTAGTCGGTCGGGGGTGAGGCCTGAGATTCTGCATTCTAGCACACGGTCAGGCGATGCCCAGGCTGCTGGTCTGCAGGCTTCACTTCCAGCAACAAGGCTCTACAAGACCCGTGGCTCTAAACCTGAGCTGCCCGACAGAATCTCCTGGGAAGTATTTAGAAATACGCTGTGCCCAGCTCCTTCACCCAGACTTCATTGGTCTGGGGTGCAGCGTGGGTGCTGCGTACTTTTAGAAACTTCCTAGATGGTGCTAATGGGCGGTCTGGGCTGAGAACCACTGCCCCAGACTCATGGTCCCCAGATGGGAGTGTAAGTTGCAATCTGATTTGAAGTGAAAAATGTTTCTGCTACCAAGATTCATCACCAGCTTGTTGAAGTATATGAAGAAAATCTATTTAGCTGGAGCGTGTCAAAGGAGGAGGCGGCGCAGGGAGTTTGGGGAAGAAAGCAGAGCAGCGTGGTACTGCCCGAGGCAGCGAGGCAGCAGGCTCCCCGAGTGACCTCTCATTTTACATGACTGGCTCAGGGAACCTCCTGTCACACCCCTGTGAACATCTGACTCTTTGGGGAGAAAAGTTAAAAATAGAATTAAAAAGTAGGTTGGACTGAACTTTCTGGTGTTCTGGGTGCGTGTGTATCAGCACCTGCATTCGAGCGCGGTGCGCGCTCACAGGCGGGCCCTGAGTGTAGGTGAGTGTTGGCGGCAGCCGGGCAGAGCAGCTGGGGGCAGGCTACACATCTGAGGCCAAGCCTGGGCAGAGGGGTGCAGGGCCAGTGTGCCAGCAGCTCAATAAGGAAAGTGGTCTGCTCCTGCACGGGGGTGAACGGGAGGGGACAAAAAGGGGTCTCAACAAGGCGAGAGGTGGTAGGATTTGTGTTTCAAGCAGTGAGCAGAATTGCTTTATAGTAATAATTTCCTCTCTCTCTCTTTATTGACTTTAGAGAGAGAGAAAGGGAGAGGGAGAGAGAGAGAGATAGAAACATCGATGAGAAAGAACATCAGCTGGCCGCCTCCTGCATGCCCGCCACTGGGGATTTGGCCCACAACCTGGGCATGTGCCCTGACCGGGATTTGAACCGGTGACCGCTTGGTGCATGGGTCAATGCTCAACCACTGAGCTACATTGGCTGGGCTGTAGTAATAATTTTTAAAAAATGCTCTACAGCCCTGGCTGGTTTTGCTCAGTGGTTAGAGCGTTGGCCCGGACCAGAGTCGTGGGTTCGATTCCGGCCAAGGGCATGTACCTCAGTTGCAGTTTGTTCCCAGCCCTGGTTGGGGTCATGCGGGAGACAAACCAGTCAATGGGTCTCTCTCACATTGATGTCTCTCTCTCTCTCTCTCTCTCCCTCTCTCCCCTCTACTCTATCTAAAAATAAATGGAAAAAATATCCTCCGGTGAGGATTAAAAAAAAAAAATCTCTATAAGCAAACTTCTTGAACATGCCTCAGCGGAATGAA